TGTGTGAGATACATACGTGATACATGTGTCGCAGAAAAGTTTTTTGAACTCGATTTTAACTACGAATTTTGCTGTCAAATCAGTCCAAATCACCTCCAATCTTTCTCAAAATTTGTATATTGACTCATCTATGTATTTTCAATGAATTTCAACCATACCCATTGAAAAAAGATATTTTTGCTTAGATTTTTGGAATTTTGTATCTATAGTTTTTTTGTATATCATCACCTGATTTGCTACCTCATCCATAAAATTTCATTTCCGTATTGCATCTAATGTTGCTAATCACGCTTAAAATATGGAAGGAGATCTTTGAGTATGATTCTTGGAGACAAAGAACCTCATTTATTTGGATTTTCATTTTTTATATGTGTTTGGCTTGTTTTGGTAAGTCTACGATTAATGGTTAAAGGTTGGTAAGTTGGAACATATGTGAGACATTTATGTAAGATTTTGATAAGAATATTGCCCGAGCTGATAGAAAGAGTAATATTTTTAGATTTGGCTTTTTTCACTTTTAGCCCGCGCAGAAACTATTTGCATTTGGTAACCGAAAAAGTGTATAAAAGTGTGTGTGTGTGTGTATGTATATATATATATATATATATATATATATATATGTCACACCTCCTTTTTACCTATACCCTTGGAAGGGTATAAGGGAGTTTTTCCAATTAAAGGACAATCGAAACAGAATTATTTCATTTAAAGATTCAGAGTCGCCACTTGGGATAATTTATGGTGTCCCAAGTCACCGGTTCAAATCCCGAATCGAGGAAAGGATTGACTCTGTTTAACGGTCCGCGAACCAGAAATTCGAGTAAGGAATTCTGTTAACCCGGGAAAAGGTGTTAGACATTCCCGAGTTCCGTGGTTCTAGCACGGTCGCTTAACTGTTATATTCGGCTTAATTATCTGATTTTAGAAACACGTTTTAACCTATGATTCCTTTTTAAACTTTTAACCGCTTTTAATCAATTTTAACAGAAGATTGAACGTCGTTTAAAATACGTCTTTGGATCGCGCCACATGAAATGCACCCGCAATCCTAAACATATTTTACTCAACGTTTTAAGATTTGATTTGGGTCACATGAAATGCATACCCGGGTTTAGGAAGGTAATATTATTAAAATACGCGCCTAAAGCAACTAATGCATTTGCAACTTTGCGAGGGCCATGGAAAATTTGCTAAATGGCACGCCTCGAATTCTAAGGACTAAAATATTAACTAAGCGAGGATCATGCATTTAAGATTTTTTTTGGCACGACACCTCAATTCCAATTCTAAAAGGGAATTCAAACAAAGTTTTAGAGAGCCATATATTGCTAGAATTATATACTATGGCGCGCCTCAATTATTAGGGTTTGGCTAGTTGATTAAAGGGCATAAGAAGTTCTTGAATCAAATTCACGAGGCCAAATTTAACCGCATTGCAAGGGTGGAGAATCGGTCGAGTCATTAGAGTGGATATGGGCCAGCGACGGCCATTAACACGGAGGCATCAATTCACTGTAAACAAAAATTGCTTTTATTTCCAAATTGCCTTCAAGGTTCTGGACCCAAATTGAGCCCAAACTTAACAAAAGAAAACGACAGCAACGTTCAGATCCAATTAACAATAATCATTGACACAAGCAGGAGTAACTTAAACTATTCGAAGTGCAAAAATTCATAAAATTCAGAACATCTCATATTCAAATCCTCATGTCTCATTCAAATTATTATACCAAATCATAACTAAACGTGCTGGACTTTTACCTGGAGAAACACCTTTCAACAGGCTATCAAATCAACTAATACAAGACCAAACTTAATTATATGTCATTCAAACACTAGTCAACTATTCAAACCAATCAAAGTGTTATTACCATTACCAACTAGGACACTTCTTTCACACATAGCTATTTTCAACATGACTGATGCTAAACAAGAAAATCAAATCACTCAACTTCAGTTTTATGCTATGACAATCAGCTCATGCTCTATTTACGAGTCAAAACATTTCTAATGATAAACATTGCAAGCATATATGAAATTGAAGGGAAACAACTAAGACTCATTGTGAACATCTATAGTTCTTGATCAATTTTCAGATTCCAAACTTCAAAATGCACTTAAATGATGTCCATAGTGTTTGAGAATACCTGGAAAAAAAAATGACAGAAAAGGAAGAAGATCAGCAATAGCAGGACAGTGTCAACAGCAGCAATGGAACAGTAGTCTCTCAGTAGTTCAAAATCAGTTTTCAAAACCCAAAATCAGATCATCTTCAACCTAGATAAGTACTTGTGATCTTTCAGGAATTAGAGCTAAACAAGGGAAGCGAAGAAAACTGGAAATCCAGACTCCCAGCACAAATTCATCTCAGAATCAGCTTTCAAAAAACAAATTAAACCAACCTTAACCCCATATGAATCAAAGATTGCTTCAAATATTCAAAACCTCAAGAATTATAGAAAGAAATCCAATGGAACAGTAGTTTTCTATGAAATTCTTAGCCGTTCTTGAGTTTCAGATCTTTTTATCTCCTCTATCTCTTGGTCTATTCCCGTCTTCCTTGAAATGCAAGGAAAAGGAGCCTTTATAGACAAGGAAATAGGGCAGCAATAGGGAATCAGATTTTCATTTTAGTCCTTTTCATGTTTTCATTTTTGCCTAGATATCCCTATTTAGTTTTCAGAGTTTCAAAACAATCCCAAAGTGAGCTTCTAAGAAGTTTCCTAATCAGTTATACAAAGATTCCCCTAAGCAAATACCCAAAACTACCCCCCCCCCCATACCCCGATTATTTACAAGTAACCCAGATGGGTATGGGTCAAACTGACCCTGGGATGACCCATTAGACTAAAACCCATTCTCTCTGGTCTTTGGTTCAATCAGCAATCAAATCCCTTCCATTGAAGCCCAAACAAAAAAAAAAATTCAAACCCAACAAAAGGAACTTCAAGAATGAAAACAGAACAAAGGGAAAGAGATTTAAAACTGAACTTGAAAATTGAAACGACAATCAAAAACTTAACACGTCTTAAATAAAAACAAACATGACAGAATGAGCAAAATACACACAATCAAAGGGAAAAATAGCACGACACAATATGAATATCAAACAACTAATGAAAGAAAAAGAAAGCCTGAATTCAAAGCTTGAACTTCACCTAACTTCATCGGAAGAAAGCTGATTGGAGAAGGGCAAAAGAAAGAGAATAGGACCAGATGGCAAGACAATGTAACCAGAACAAATGAAGGAAACTTATCAACATGAATCGAAAAATCAGTGGAGACCAGGGATATGACCAAACTAATATTGATCCCTCGCTCTTTGTCAAGAACGAAAGAACAATATTTGTTTCACCAAGTCCAGACTTCAAAACTCGCAGAGCAAACAG